CGGTGAGTTTAGCAATATTGGTCGCCTAGGTAAGTGTGGGCTTTAGCTGGACATGACAAAAGCCAATTGCCAAGATCAGAAGAACTAGGAGTAGATGTCTTCAATTTTACCTTTTCTCAAGAGCAGAGGCCGAGTATTGCTAGCTATCTTCGACGAGTTAGAAAATGGTTGAAGTGACTGTTGATATGAATTCCAGAGTAAATCTGAGTCTGAAGTTGACGAAATTCATGAGAACGTACTCAACTCTGCAGCATATGGGTAAGATCACGAATCTTATATGCTGCGACACTCCCACTCTGTCCCAATCGATGAATAGCCGCTACTTAAAAAAATGTTCCTATACTATCACACCGCTCGAAAACCTTCTGCCTTCGTGGAGGTCACAGGGATGGGATGGCCGCGCCGCAGTGGTCCCGGTTTTCCTCCCAAAAATGAGGCTGCCATCTCACAATCCCAGTCTCACTTCGTGCAACCCATCATCACCCATGCACCCCGACTTTAGCCTATATAATTCACTTCATTCCTCGTACATTTTTCAGTCTAAAATCTAGATTTTGAGGCGGAGCATCCACGATGTAATGAAAATGGGTATGAATATTGAGAGGCCGCTCTTACATTGCTCTTGGAAGAGTTTCATCTTAGGCAGTCGCGAAAATCCAATTTGGGGAGTTATGGGATTGGTAGAGCAAGAGAAATTGGGTACTTGTGTTCATCTTGTTCATCTTGTTCACTGAACTGCGCCTTGATCAGATGGTAAGAAGTGAGTAATAAGCTGACACGATGGTGAAGAGATGAGAGTATAAATTCATCTCTTTTCTCCTGCTCAAATCCCAAATTCCAGAGTAAAATAAACCTCTAAACATCTCAGTCACATATACTCGTTCTTTTTCAATCTCCTTTTCAGAAACCAATATCAAAATGATGTGGAAAACAGCAACACTACTTACCGTCCTGTCTTTGAGCGGTCAAATATCTGCCTTTTGCTGGGATCAGCAGCCAGAGCGCAGAATCTGCTATGATGTTCCGGGGGCTACACCGCAGAACGTGAGCATTGCGGTACGTTGAAATATTCTAGATGTTGATCGTCCACTCCAGTTTATCTATACGTTCTCAAGTAGTCTTTAAAAGCATAATATTTTGAATTTCTCTTGGGATTATTCAGTCGATGGATGGCCTGCTGACATTGAGACGTTAAATAGACAGTTAAAGCTATCGCCAATTATGTTCGAAGTTTTGGAGTTGGACCAAATCGTCAAGAATTTTATACCATGGAAGTCAAAAAGGCCGACAACTGTGCTGAATGTAAGCTTCTCGGTTTTAAAACCAAAAATCCCTACTAACATCCAACCCTCAGGGAAGGTCGTAACCCCTGACAACTCCAGCACCTGGCTACTTGTAAAACTCACTGGCGACAACGACACTGCCGTGACATTCAACGACCTCGCATCCACCATCGACGGCGGTGAAAATGCAAGTGCTGCACAAACTGCTGCAGCTCTTCTCGGGTGTGGAACGGCAGGTGGACAGATGCCTGTTGCAGTGAACGCTAGTGATCCAGCGTATAAAAGTGCGACTTTTGTGAACGGAAAGTATACGAATGTGGGGATTTTGGCGAAGATTGTAAGGATTCCGGATGCGGTGGATTTTATGTAATCCGAGTGAGGGACGAGAGGAAAGTTGTGGATGGTTGCTAGGCATGATGGATGTTTGGGGTGATCATAAGGGTTGAGAATGAGTATGCCAATCGTTTAGAAGGAGGATAAGTAAAAGAGGTGGTACCGTGATGTCATGAAATAGAATCTAATTATAAGGAAATTAGAAAGCACTCCAATTTTGAAGGAGACTCTGAAATAATTTGTTACTTGAATGGAACGGGGATAGATATCGTAGAGAAGAGTGTTTCTGCAAAGCCACACTCTCTAAAGTACAAACTACATGCACACCATCTAATAATATTGTCTCTGTTGTTAGAGTTTTATTCTTGATCTCAAACAAGTTGATCATCCAGATGGCCTAGAATCTCTCTCTTGGGCCTTCATTGCCCAATAGGCAGGCTCTCGCGAAATGATTCTACACCATAATTCAATTAAATGGGGGCTGGTTTTTAATGCTGCAATTTATTAATTAAGAAGCAATTTCATATTATAGCACCATATATATCAAGAGCGAAAGTTCAATTAAAGCACTATTGATTATCGACTGGTAGGCGCTTAGTGGCGAAACTACGTCTAGTGAGCATGTACTCTTGTAGCTTGAGCCTCAAAGTCGTGACTACTTCTGTATTCCAACATTGTGAAGGATGGATAGAGGAAGCTGAGATGAAAGAATGGTTTTGCTGCAAAATTGCTGCAACTGCTTCCTGATATAAGATGTCTCCCGAATAATGGATTATTGAATGAAATCCTCCAAGCAAAGAACAAGCTACATGTCCTCTGTGTATTCGACTGTAGCAGGAAATAAGACGATTGAAAGGGTATATTTAAGTGTCCTAGGGTATCTCTAGAGATATCCTCTGGATGTTGAGATGATCCATCTTACTTTCCACTTCGACTCTTTGTCTTGTCTCTTGACATGAGATTCTCTCCTGGTTGGATTTGCTTATGAAATAATCTAGGCAGGTCTTCTTTTTTGAGATACTAGCAGCAGGCTTCTGCACGCTGGGAGAGAGATGGAACGACGTTGCACGAGAAACCCTATGATCAACAATGGATTCAACCAAATATCTCCCCGTTTTTAACACTTAGGTTAGCTCTTAAGGATTGATCTGTGGCAAGAGGGGAAAACCAGAGGTTTCTGTCTTGTTAGTGGAACCCAAATAGCGATTAGAGAATTTTAAACCCTCTATAGCCATTGAAAGAGAGGCTGTCCTTGAAGAGTCTATTAGCAATAGGCCCTCCTATCACTACAACTAAAAAGCTGTGTATTCCTTCTTGTCACCTCGAACTAAGTTTGAAAGCATTCGAGTCTACAAAATGATTATGATTCAGTGTTTTGGCATTGCAAAATATAATAATCATGACGGTTGAGAAGATAGGCAGGGTTCCTAGCAGGCACAAAGCAGATTGATTCGTAGGTGTGGAGTCGATTAGGTTCAAAACCTTTAGATGACGTTGGGTGATGTCGCACGTCTCACCAGGTCAACGAACTTCAGGCATCTCCACCATGTCTGATGCAACGCCCAAACACGAAAATCACGACTTCAACATTCTCTACAATGAACTACCACATTTCCCATCCAACAATTCTCAGCTGCTGACCGTTACTCCGATCGCGCAAAATGGCCCCTCTACTATTGAGACTACCATATCGACAGGTCAGACAGGCACAGATTCCTTGACCGGACCGAGGGTCTTGCCAGAGGTATGATCAATTCCCTGGGCAGTTGGAAAGGAATTATCGATTGAGAAGTAAACAGAGAGCCCTTGTACGCAAATACGAGGAGCCTTTTTGCTATCGACGCGTGGGAATGTTAATATAGACCCATGCAACCATTGTGCGACCGGCGCACAGCGGTTTGCGCTGTGTATAAACCATCCCTCGTGGTTCCAAGGAGCATGTGCTCCTTGTCAGATGGCAACGGGGGGGAATTTATGCACTTTAAGAGTGATAATAACTGGTAAGTAAAATAGTGCCCAAGTGCTTGTTCTACGACTGATTTCAGTATGTAGGAATTCCAGCAGAGTCGAACCAAAATAATACTGAAATGTCTCGAAATCCTGTGTCAAGTGAACCTCAGGACTACCAGCAACTTTCCGACGGACAAAATGCTCCTCTAAATATGCTGAAGCATGAGGCGGACTCTCCTACGCAGACTTCAAGTACAACCGGCATAATTTTTAAGCCAAAAACCACAGATCCGCTCAATACTTCAATTGCAACCGCTGCAACCACAATACCTACGCCCTCGCCTTCGAGCACCTATTTCTCAAATTAGTTGCAGGCGCCACCACAACCTGCCGCTAAAGGACACAGCTATCTATCTGGGAGCTCCACTACTATAACTAAGTGAAGAAATGCAGCATACCAAGCATCTTACAATCCAAACCGACAAGATGTGCAATGCAATATGCATAGCGCTTCATACTCTGCTGTAGGAATAGGGAACATAATTCTAAAGGATGGTGAAAGTGGGGTCACTAAATCCGCTTCGCCCAGCACGCAATTACTTCAGCCAACCCCGCATGTTCCCCCAGATCCAGCAATACCCAGCAGAGAAAGCCTTGCACAAGTTGAACTACTAGGTTAGAAGACTGTGGAAACTCTACTTATAGATACTCTGCCAAGGAAGAAACCCAAAAATATTAGGCATTATTGGAGGGCTTCAGAGTGGTATAAGAAATATCTGCCAACAGGCTGATGGGCTTCAGAAATAGCTCGATGCGCTCCAGGCTGCCCTGGGCACTGATGGGGATGACGGTGATGGGGTTTGATGCATGAGCACAGCGACCATTACAATATCCTCGAGAAGCAAGTACTGCAAGAGCTGTCAAACGACAGATGTTCTCAATGGTCTTGGTCGGTTACCATTGTTGCCATGCTAGACTGTTTTATTTATACTGTTGAGAAGTGGGATTAGTGCGACTATCAATGTTGTGATGTGTGCAATTTTGTAGGATAAGCTATAGACACCCTAAGCACAAAACTATGGCTCTAATAGATGCAAATATGTAAGGAAGGATACCGAAGGTCGTCCTCTCCAACCCAGGAACATACCCTTAACATTTATACATATCATGTTATGAAGCAAATGAAAAAAAACATGACCAAGTATTGTCAAGGTCTTTACCACTTGATCTGATACAACATAACCAATACCAACCCCAAATACCAAAACTTTTGATTTATTTTCAATCTCATGCTCCTTTCCTTTGTCATATCAAAACCTTTTCTTTCTTTCATGCACATCTGGGGTTTGAAAGTATTGCAATTCGTCATTGCCCTTCTAGCTACCAAAAAATGAACGAAAAGTCTTTTAACACAGGAAAACCTCACTTGAAGCGAGGTTCTAGTAGGAATCGAACCAACATCCCCGGAAATTATATTTCAAAATCCGATGTGCTAACCATTACACCATAGAACCATTTTATTGGTTTGAGTTTGATCCAGATCCGCTTGTTTGGCATTATAAAGGGTTTTGATGGTGGGGGACGAGTTTGGGGAAATATAGCTGCGGGGGCATTTTGCCGAAGATTTGACGAGCAACACATTTTCATCAGACGAAAGAAACCTCATGAGTGGCAGAGGATTAACCCTTTAAAGAATATGAAACAACAGGAGCGTGTATTGACCTTCATATCTAGATTATTAAATACACATGCAACTCGACTATCACATATTATTTAATATCATCAAGACAGCCATACCACGCCAGCAAGTACCACGATCGGGAGTAAGGCAATGCTTGCTGAGCTCAATCGATGACCGGCACTAGCTATGTTCGAAGTCGTGGGGGAGGGCGCAACTGTAACTGTTGCCTCATTTGGATTTGCAGTTGTAACACTCTGTCCCCCGCCACCTCCATTCAAGGTAATGGTTGAGCTTGATACAGAGCTCGAAGACTTGCTCGTACTGGTTGTAGATTTGCTTGTAGTTGTTGCTTTTGCTGTGGCTGAACCCGAGGTGATCGTGCCCAACAAGTTCGTTGTAGACGTCACAGAAGCAGGAGCTCCAGTTTTTATCCCTGTTGGACCTCCAGTGACGGTAGCGTTATACGATGACTGTTGTTGTAGGATGGTTGCGGGCACGGGTGCCACAGTAAAACTGAAGCTTGAGCACATTTTGGTATTTGTGGGACCATTGTTGAGGTCGCTGATTCCAAATTCAATATCACACCAATGACATCTATCGTCAATTAGAATTTCATTTCTTTCCATCATTTGGGGCTTTCCACTTACGCGTCTGAGGTTGAAACCCAGCCGCCCTCGCAAATACATTGATAGTACTGTGTCGAGTCCTTCAGCCCAATGAAATTATCGCAAACGTCGAATAAGTTGTTTGCTGCTTCGCAAATGGAACCTTTGGAATAGCAGAAATGAAGATCCTCTCGTTTCATAAGATGTTCCTCTTGATTTCTCCGAAGAAGCTCAGCACGCATAAGATACTCCTTGGATGGAGAGTAAGGAGCAGCCGTGACAGTTGGTGGTTCTGCAATAGCGTGAGCAATAACTGCTGTTGCAGAGACAACACATACGAATGCTGCTGAGAACTGCATCTTGATTATAGTACTTGTGGTAAGGACTGGCCGGATAGAAGATGGGGTGAACTATCAAATTATCATTAAAGAAGGTACCGAGCCTTAAAGGCAAGAACTCTGAACAATGATCATTCGAAGCTGGACTTTCAGCTAATCATATCATTGTCTCCGACCTCGGTATAAAATTAAACCACCGTTTTCGAAGTTCCTTGCAGCCACCATAGCTCCCCATTTCTATTTCCCGTTTTCATTACGACGCCACCACCCCACCTCATCTCAAGGCATTTTTTATGTCTTTCTATTGATCCATTTCAGAAGCCTCCTCTTGTTCGATTCGCTCACGAACTCATTTTTCGTGATGTCTCAGGCAGCATCTTTCGAAACGAGCCAACGGCAGGGCTGAAATGAAAGGGTGCAGTTTTCTCTACTGAAGTTTCGATATGCTTAATTTATCGCGTAACCTAGTCCCTGGAAAAGAGGCTCTTGGCAGTCTATTTTAGTGGACGTGCACCTTCTTCGCTGGCTTGCCCAGCCTTTTGGTATTTTAATCCCCTACAAAGTCGATATCGATACCCCAGTTTGAGCTCCTGTGCCGTGCAGCTGTCCACTTATGATCTTCCCTTTCCGCCTCCCAACTCACAATCCTTACCAGATGTGAGGATTGCCCTTGAATGTGTAAGTGTTTTGACTAGACGGTGAGACTTTTATCCGAATAGGGGCAAGCTGGAAGTGATCGCGTGTCAGCAGCGGGGGGTTATGGAGCCGTTGCAGATCTGAATCAATGTTTCTCGGTTCAGGCTGTTGGCTGGTTGCCTGCAGAGGGAGCACGCCATGTGGAAGGAGATGAAGGTTGTGCCTTGCATTTATGCTTGTGAGCTGCTAAGAAATCTTTGTCAACACCATCATTTGTGGTTCTCGTGAACAATCAGTGTCAACCAGTTTCAACACGATTGGCTTCACACAATGACAGTTCAAATTACTGTTGGCTATGTAGCTGGTTTCCTTGCTGCCGCTTTCTTTGTTAGTAAGTACCTCTCGTCCACTTTCTCCCCTTCCGTAGGTGTCTCACGTACTTGTCTTAATGAACTAAAACTGATAACAGAAATTTCTTTTAGTTAAACTTTGCAGCAAGAACATCTTGACACTCATCATATCCGGCCTTCTGAGGGACAAGAACACTGCCTCGACATGGTGAGGAACTAAATTATTTCCAGCCCAGATATCAAACTGACGCATACATAGGACAGTAGCAGGCTCTGCTCTCCAGAATTCAATATGGCCAACCCTTCTTCGCTCCGATAGCACATTAAGTCATGGTGTTCGCAAAGACGTTTGGTTTGTGTCAAACTTCATCACCTTCATGACTCTTTTGATCGGCCTTGCTGGAATTGTCACTCCTCTTGGCCTTTACCAGACTCTTGTGGAGGAAAAGAATGTCCAAACGCCGTTCAAGTACCTTCCAGATGATTCTCCATTTGGGGTCGGTACGCCACCTCGAAGTAATTACTCTTTGACTCGATCTTGCTTGGGAACTCAAATGTTGAGTCCTTGTCCATTTACTGATACTGTTTCTATTGGCGTCCTTGACTCGACTGGGAAAGGATCCTTCGACTTCCCGTACGGTTACGACATTAATGTTCCTCCTGTGTTGAAAGAGATCTACTCAAGTGGTACTGGTGATGACACAACAGTGTCGAATTATTTCGATATACAATGGAGAAGATACGTTACGACCAGAAACGAAATGTATAACAATGGCTCAACCACCGTTATCGGCGCATTTCGAAATTTCGACAGTATGGTGCTGCACAATGCATATGAAGCATTCGAGGGCGTCATTGTGGACACCAAGAATGGAGGCATTGGCTTTCGAAACCACACCATCCCTCCAGCCTTTAAATATGGAGCAGCGTGGACTGAAGATATTCTTTTCATAGAGCCCGAAACTGTCTGCGTTGACACAAATATCACGCTTGATTACACCATGTCAACTACCCAGAACCTTAGTCTCTCAATCCTTGATCTGGTTCTGACCGATCGAGGCGGTTTCACTAACCTAAATCAAACTTTCCCAGAAGCAGATATCTCGGACAAACAAAAGAATCCCGACCTCTGGATGCGTGCATATAAGGCTGCTTGGATGACAAATGTCTTCAGCATGCTTTATTATAATGTTACAACGATGCGTAATGGCACTACAAAGCCATTTTCTTATCTTAATACAAAGATTGGTAGAACATTTGCCGTACCCTATTCAGGGACATCCATGGCCTATGATGCTCTTCAATCCGACTACAGCTTCCAGAGCCATTTAGGACTGAACTCAAAAATTGATAACTTTACAGTCCAATCACCTGCTGACGTCACTTCCGCTACTAATCCATTCAACATCAAAAATAGTAATTTCAGCTCAATCGGTGCGTTCAACTCGTGTTTTTTCTTCCACTCACGGTTCTAAAAATTTTTTTAGGGGTTCTCTGCAGTGGAGCAGGTAGTGCAGATTTTGCAAACATCACCAACATCCTCGTGTCTTGCGGTTTAATGCACGGCGTACCTCAACGTCAGGATCCTGGTTCAAGCATAGTCTTTGATAGCGGCAGCAAATGGTCTCAACCCCTTTACAGCTGCGCAAGTGCAGTCAAAGCAACCATCAAAACAGTATCCTTTACTTACAACGGCACTACCGACAGCCTCAAAAATCTCAATGTTACCCATATTCAGAACAAGGTTTATAAAGAGGAAGCGAGTAAGCCTTTGTGGGGCGTCGAAAATACCGGAAATGTATACAGGATAGATCAGCTAGGACTTATCTGGGGTTTGATATCTTCCAAATATGAGAATCATCCTAATGTCTCGAGTATACGGCAAGAATCGCTCTATCTACCTGGTCTCGGGGCATACCAAAATGCCATTGGGAGACTTTCAAATCGGAACCTCCCAGGAACCGATTTCTACTCTGGTGCAATTGGAGAAGCATACTCAATCAATTATATTAACATGCGTGCGCTAGATTACAGCGGTGACGGCAATATGGCTATGTGGGTGCGCTGGCAAAACCTCACTAAATCTGTTTCTACAGCAGCAATTATCCCAAACCTCATCTGGACGGACTACGCAGCGGCCGCAGTCGTCGGAACAAAGGGCGTTCTCGGTCCAGGTAATGCCGCGAACAAGAACCTCGTGGCCCTCCCCGTAACCCCCACAACGATGCGAATCAGATACCACTACGCTTTCGGAATTCCCGCCTTCCTAACCGGCTTCCTCCTTCTCCTCTCCATCATTGCCTGCTTCCTTGTAATATGTTTCGGTCACGGTGGTGTCGGTCGTCTCGAAGTCCATCTTCACCAAACAAGTCCAGGGAGAATTCTCACGACTTTCTTATACCCATCGACACATGGTATGGATATGAAAACCAAGGAATGGAAAAAGAGGATGGCAAAGAAGAGCGTGGATTTGGGTGGGGAGTATCCGGTGGGCACTGAGGGACCAGGACCAATTCCGCCGGCGTATGGACATGAGAAGGATATTGGGTTGAGTGTTTATGAGAGAACGGGAAGTGATGTACATTTGGCAGAGGGGGAGAGGTTCTTGACGGAGCCAAGGCAGTGAGAAGGGATTTTGTGGTGTTAAAGACAAGCGAGAAGTAATTTATACTGTAATTACGAACCAAATATATTATTACTCTAGCCCCAGTGCCGCAAGTTGTGGATCTTTTAAGCAAAGCACCATGTCAAGGATTCATGTTGGGGTCGAGAAGTCCTCCTGGACGCTCCATTCTCATTGCATAGTTTATAAAATCAGATGGAAGTGAAGGCATTAATACTCTAGTTGATACGAAGGGTTTAATTTGTGGATCTGCCACATTGTAGGTCCTTTTCTCAGCACGG